ATTATATTTTCGGAGTATTCTGACAGTGTAGTGTAGATAATGCCAGAAAGGATTTTGTATATTACATTTAGCAATATAATTGATCTGTAATTCTAGCATTCCCTCTTATGTCCATTTTTATATATTGGCTGTAGAAAACCAACTGCCCATTCCTCCGACATTTGCTCCCTGGTTCATATAAACTTTATCAGGTAATGGATTCTATCCCAGAGTTTGGGTCCTCCATATTTCAACAATTCTGCCGAAACTATGAACATACTGTCGAAACAGTAAAGCGCTTTTTGGCGCTTTACTGTTTTTTAGTTTAGTATTTAAGCTACTTCTTAATAACTCGGATTTTCAATGTGCTGCTCCGGCGTAACATATATTGTCTAGTTTTGATAATTTTGATTGCCTGCATTTAGTTTTTTCTCAAAGTATTCTTTTTATCTCATTATAATTTGTTATTTCTCTGTTAGTATTCCTCCTTTCTTGCCTTTGCAAATTGCCAATTTTGGTTTAAATGAATATGTGCTTCTTTTTGTTGCACTTGTCTTTTCAAAGCTTCTGTTTTTCTCTTATGCATATTCTAGTCGCTTGTATTCTCGTTTGGTTATAACTTTTTCTCTGCTATTTCTTATGTTTCTTTGAATTTAGTTAAGCCTAGCTTACATTTTTTGCTCTACTGCAGTTCACATTCATTATCATACCATTCCGCATTTCTTTGCCTTTTGGCTTTTACGACAGTTTTCTCTGCAGCTTTCATTGTTATGGTTTTTGGTTGTCTCCATTCTGTCTCTGCAGTATTGTCTTCTCTGATTCCGTTGATTTTTTTTAGAGTATATTGATATTCTTGTGTCTTTGTTGGACTATTGAGTCCTTTGACATTCCATTTTTTAATTTGGCTATTTTTTCCTATTGTCATTTTCTCGATTTTCTGCCGCAATTTTGCCCCCAGAAGATAGTGATCTGAGTCAGAGTTCGCCTCGCGATACGTTTTGATAATAATTATATCTGTAGCCCATCTTTTTGAGATGAGGATGTGGTCAATTTGATTGGTTTCATTGGTTCCTGGTATTTTCCATGTTCCTTTATGGATATCTTTTCTCTGGAAATTAGTGCTGACAACTACATAATGATTTGATGTTGTAAAATGTGTAATCTCATGTCCGTTTTGACTAATTTCATTATGTAAACTCTTTTTCCAAAATATGTTTACGAAAGTTTTTTCTTTCGCCATCTTAATGTTATAACAGCATCGAGTCTTTGGAGTTTATCACATAGATCCTGAAGTTCTCCATAGAATCTTTCAACCTCGTCTTCATCATTCTCTTTCATCGTTGCATATACATTAACCTTTGTCGCGGTATGCAGTTTACTTTTAAGTCTTACGGTGCAAATTCTGTCTGATATTGGTGTAACTGCGATAATGGCTTTTTGTAGTCTTTTGGTGACTATAAACGCTACTTCTCCTTCACCTTGTCTCAAATCATTTCCGGAGTAGTATAGTGAGAACTTATTTTTACGAATTTCTCCTTAACCCTTTCATCTGATTTTCTGCAGTGCCAATATTTCAACCCCGTATTTTTTAATTTCTTCTGTCATACTTATCATAGCTCCTGCCTTTAAAAGGGTTCAAAAATTCCAAGTTCCAAATTTTAAATTCATAATCATATCCATTTTTCTGTGCTGAATTCGTCGGTGTGAGACCCGTCCGTTTATTTCATTAGCCATTGTATTCGCAACAATTTTACAGGAAAGAGTTGTTAGCCCTTCGCTCAACCTCATATTCATCGAAGGTCCAAGGCCCCTTTTTTGGCAGCCCTGGCCCCACCTTCCACTGGGGTTGGTGACCCAATCTCTAGTGGAGATGCTCAGGTTACCGGTGTGTACCAACTTGGAGGTGAAGATAGGAATTGAGTAGGAGAGGCTGAGTGATGCTAACAGGATACGGCATCATGTATTGCGCTTCACTTCCCCTTTACACACCTATATTTTCCGTTTAGCCTTTATAATAATGGCTTCGGTCTTCTCTGTTGCCAGTTCTAGTCCGGGATCTGTCATCCAGTATTTTACGACGTTCCCCGTATGATCCGGCTCGTCCCGTGCTACTATTCGTACAGCGAGATCATCTGCAAAAGCGAAGGGGGTTATACCTTCTCTATATTCGTAGTTCTTGACCCTGTCGTATGTCAGGTTCCATAGCGTCGGAGCCAAGACCGATCACTATGTGACTTCAACCGTTACGTCAACGAGCGTGCCCTTCTTAACCACGATCTTTCTATCAGAAAGATAATTCGACATCACATTCTTCAGATAGTTAGGACACTCCCTCTCTTCCAATGATCACATTACCTCTTTCCACTGCAGAGTGTTGAATGAATTTCTAACATGCAAGAGCAGCAGAGCCGCCTAGCGCTGTTCATTCTTAATGTTGTGCAATGCCACGATTACACTTAAAATTGCGTCAACTTTGCTTTTTCCTTTGCAGAATCCGAATTGTCTCGGGGATAGATCTCCTGATCTCTCAGTCGTGTTGTAGCGTTTACGCTACTGACTAGTCCAATTTAAACCCCTCAAGAAATTTTTATTACCCGCCTACGATCGATTTTAAATCGACATTTTTCCCCACGCGCTGTTATCGCTTTGAAAGGAAGATCGATTTTATGCGGAAGCCGAACGATCAGTTTTGGTCTGAACTCGTCAACGCAGCCACGCCAACCGGTGAAATTTTTCACCTTCAAAGTGACGGAATTGGAACAAGGAAGATAATTTGGGGAATAATAAAATAGAAATATTAATAATAATAATAGTAATAATTAATTTTAAATATCAAGTATTAATTTATAATCTAAAGAGTTCCACATAAAAGGAAGATTTTTTTGGCGTGCTGCTGCTCCATGTAGTAAATCATTTCATACGTATTATCTCCTTATCATATAATCAAATTTATCATTGTATTTAGTATTTCTTTATAGATTTATTTTTGAGTTCCGAAATAATTTAAATATAAAATTTCCTTGATTTACTTGCAAAGAACAGAAGGTCATTTTTTTTATATAGTCAAACTTAAATTCCGATCTATTTCATATCTTATCATTAAGTTTTTTTTGGTTCTTTTTTTTACCTAACTTTTTTGGTGGAATATAAAAAGGTTCTACAAATGTGGTACAGCCTTCTGTATTCTGCGCATGTTCATTTCATGGCGCAAGCTTGCCATGCCTACGAAAGTAACTTCATAAATTTGACATGATGTTGACTTAACCTAATACCTGATGTTTTGATGTTTTGTTTTGGTGCAGTCAATCCATGCTGCTACACCTATTGAATTGTATTTATTAAATTAAATAATAATTTTAGATTCCGTCACGTGAAAATATTAATTTCACTTCACTTGAGGATATTCTTTTCAGAATATTCCCTCGAGGATATTAGTAACTTTGAATCCTGAAACTAATTAGCAACTTGTGTATGTAACCCGTGAATTTTGCTGTCACCCAGAGACCAGTGACTGGTTGTGGTTTTGTGCCCAGGATTCGTCTTTACAGCCATAAACTGATGTAACCGTGCCAAGAGGAGTTTTTCCTATGGACTTATAATGCTGTAAAGATAAGTTGTTTAACTATTTGACTTTTGTGTTACTATCTATTTATTGTTTAATTTTTGTTACTTCCTATTTAGTAGTATACCCTCTGCATATGCATATGACAAGGTGAACATTTAATTTTTGATAATTTAATTATAAAATATTCGGGAAGGGAAAAAGGACACTTCAGGTGTTATTAGGTTTTAGTTAGGATATACAGAGTCTAACCAAACTCATTTTTTTTTATATAATATTTTTGTTAATCTAATACAATTTTGATATTGGAGAAAGGGAAATAAATTTCATATGTTTTTTTTTAAAACATTATATAAAGAGTATTGAAGACTCATTTTTTTTGGATATAATATGATAATTGTAACAGAGTTATCATTGTTGATATCTGTACAATACAGTAATTATTTCTCATATTAGTAGAACTATTTTAAGTTAAATTACTACCTTTTGTGTGTTAAGACTTTGGCTATCATACGGACTATTCTTGTTGTATACTAATATTTTAAACTTTATTTGGCCAGTGGTAGTGACTATTCGCTTGTTAAGGGGCTATTAGGTCCTATTATATCTTTACACACCCACTACCACTGTTATTTAGTTTTTGCATTATATGTAAATTGTTTATACACATATACCTATATACCTGTTTATAAATATATTTATTATTGCTATTTTGAGTTTTATTTCAGTCCTACTAACCAGTATATAACATAGCAAAACAAGATTATTATTTAGTATTTTTGTATTTCAGAGTATTATCTCCAGATTCATTTGTTACTTCAAAATCTCAACTATCGTTGAGTTGGCGCCCTTCTTTTCTCTTCTTATTGTTCTCTTTCTATAAATTTATTCCCAGTGACCTTCTTCAGTTTTATCACGTTTGATATTACCAGGTCTCATTTCGTTCTTGTCTCATTAGCTCATTATCTCTTGTTATTGTTGTTTATATCTTTAAAGCCACAATCCAGTGCATTGAAGCTAGCCCGAACACTCACTTGAGATTTAGTGTCTCTTTGGCCATTTAAATTTGTTCCTCTGAGCTTAGCCCTATTTTTAGTATTTTTTTTTCATCACTTCTCTTTCAGTTCTTCTGAAATTTGGAAGTTCTACACCTCCAAAAAACCCAATACTCCCGGAGTATTGAGCGTTTCAGTGTCGTCAAAAACTGGTAAACTGCGAACTGAAAAGCCAGTAAGCAAGTAATAAAATAGTTATTAGTATATAAGTTATAAAAATGCATTTATTGCAAGAAATGTGATAATATTTTGTGTAAACTATTTATTTCTATTATTTTATTCATTCCAACAAAATATTTGCTTTGCTTAATATTTTCTGTACATATTACTTGACAAGATAATTTCTAAATTTAGATCGATGCCTAACGCGACTATCTAACAATTGTTCTATAAATATTCGAATTTGAAACGATTGTTACGGTACTGTATTACGATTACAGTCGTAGAGTAAAAGCACGAAAAATTTCGTAAGACAAATTAAATTTTAACCTTTTGTCATTCACGCACATCCGGCTACAATGAATAAAATTAACGACTTCAAGGAACTGATTAGAGACTATATTGGACCTAATAAAAGTGTGATCGATACCAAAGTGAGCAATGTTACAGCACCAGGAGAAAATTACATGAGTGAAATTATTCGAATTCAAGTTATTCTAAAAAATGAAACTACGGGGATCAAAGAGGATTTGTCGCTTGTGGCAAAATTGGTTATTGATGCCGAGATAGCTAATGGAGGAACTACGGCCATAATCACTAGAAATGAAGTGGTGTTTTACAAAGAATTGATTCCTGTTATAGAGGAATTTCAGAGAAGACATGATTTACCGGTTCTAAATATATTTCCAAAATTTATAGCTGGCAGGATAAATCTTAACGGTAGCGATGTGGCTGATACAGATGCTGTTTTAATTTTGGAGGACTTATCAGAATCAGGTAACTTGTTTTTTATTTACATTTTCTGGGTGTATTAAGACGAACATTTCATCGCTTTTTCTGTTCTTAGGACCCAATAGACAAATTTTAACTTTCACCTGTAGTTTTCTTCTATAATTAAATTATTTTTATTGATTCATTGATTCTGACATCTTGGTCTTAATAGGTGTTTTAAAGTTTATTTATGTATTATTCTATTTTATATAATACTAGTTTAATTCTATTTTTATGTAAAAATATTAAAAAAAATCTAGCTACGAGGAAAACTTTATTGACAAAAAAAATTTTGGTGCCAAACATAAAACATCATGCAACAATGTAATATTAAAGTTAAACTACTTTGAAGCTACAGTATACACTATACAGTATGATACTGCAAATAACAGTTTCTTTCTTTATTAATACACAACGGTATTGTGCATTTTGTGCACACTAATATGTTTTCCCTATATAGTCTGGAAATTTGTATCTTGACCTAGTGCTCTCATACCAATAGGGAAAATTATCATGCCCATCTTTACAGATGTCATCTAGGGGTATTTCTTAAGTGGGTCCCTTTTTTAGTTTGTTCTCGTACAGCTGCTGAATGCTACTACTTGACGGTCTTCCTACTCTGTTCTGTTTAATTGATTTTCCGGCTTTGCATAAAGCATCGGCTATTGCTAGTTTGGTATCCAAAATGTAATATGTAAATAAATATGTATGTAAATGTAAAATGTAATAACCAACATTTCACGGCTATCATGTCAATGAAATGAACAAATTTTCGTAAACAATATTTTTTTGACCTGATTTTTATCCGATAAAATCCTAACATGGAATCAAGCAGATCTAGACCTCCCATGTGGTTGTTGTAGATTAGGACAAGGTATTATTTTATCTATACTTTCTTGTTTGAAAAATCTTCTTTTTTCTTTGTTTGGTTTACTTCCAGTATATGTTGATATTGTAGTAACGAATTTATTACCAAACCAGGACACTACACTGACATCCACATTGTCTATATTTGTTTTTTTCTCTACCATATGACCTCTGCCGCGCTTCTTCATTTCTTTCTCAGCTGGCATCGCAACTCCAGGAACACAATTAAGGCTTACTGTTTTCAAACGGAAAATGCTCTCTTTGGTCAGATAATCATACGAAGTATTCTGGTGAACCAATTGTCACAAAACAACTTGTAATGTTAATGTTTTGATATCGAATCTGCTAATTTTACAACAATATTGCTGCTCATACTAAGATTTGGTGCTCCTAATGGTACAATATTAATCTAAATACCAGCAAACAAATTAAACTCATAGCTGAATCCCGAAATACCACTCAGCAAAAAGTTTTTAAAGCTCCACTTATGTGGTTTTTTGGGTTAAAGTGCTTTAGCTGTTTTGCGTTTTTGTTGGTATAATCTGTTCGTCTACAGCTAGAAATCCCTTTTTTCGGAACCATGAGTAGTCGTTGTTTCATTTGGCTCAGAACAGTTCTAATTTTAAATAATTTGTCACTTCCAGGCTGATCATTTTTAATCATATCATCATTGTTATTGAAATGCAAGAAACGTTTTATTTCGTCGAATCTGTTACAGCTCATCACATCGCTAAATTTTCTGTGGCTAATATTGGCATTTCAATAGTTTCTTGTTGATAGAAGTTGAATTATCGACATGTAAATAGTAATTCCTATATATTGTTCTATTTTATATATTTATATATATATATATATATATATATATATATATATATATATATTTATATATATATATATAAGGATCACTCAGACGAGTGGTGGGTTCTTATATCGGTCTCTAGGTGGAGAAATAAAAGACAAAGTTGATAGGCTACTTTATCTATTTTGAAGACGTTTCGCTTTCGAGTTTTGAAAGCATCATCAGTTCATCTAAAAAATTATTACAATATGAGAACCACACAATCATGGAAACGATGTTAATTGTTACCTTAAAAAGATATGTAGCAGTCAATGTTATTAACAAATATGTGAATGAAACTAAGTAAATGGACATAGTACGCTGATCTTGTATAAACAGTTAAGCAACTAACAACATATATGCACTTGTACAAAAATTAGCACAGCAATTGACCATGTGGTCCAAAATAAATTCAATGTTATTTATGTTAATAAGTGAGAAAGAACCAAGAAAATCATAAATAACCTCCAACTATTTAATGGATATTAAACTTTGATTTTAACTTTAGGTAGCATTATAAGTAATATTAATAAAATTCTACAAAATAGTGAATATGAAGTTACCGATCAAAGCCTTATGGATGTCGCCGTGAAAATGGCGTTAGATGAAACAGGAACGAACTAACCGCAAAAAGACAGCCAACCTTGAGGTCAAAATTACTTTTGACAGATCAACAAGGTGTAAATACCAACCCAGAATTTTGGGCGGTTAATTTAATTTTTTTATTTTATAACTGAGTCTGGATGACTACCAGGTTGTAAAGGACAACAACAGTGAAAAAAGTTGGTAGTGTACACACAACTCCCCTCACTAACCGGCCCAAATTTACAAACCGGAGATTTGCATTCAAACTCATAATAATGTAATGACGTTAAACATGTGGCAAGTTAAATAGTCAGGTGATTAACGATATTATAATTTCCATACAGCCCAAGGTTCAATATACTTGGAGCTGTGATTTGTAAAGGATTCTATGAATCAATTACAATGTTTGTATTATTTTATATATAATTTAAAACTCTAATCAAAGAATTTAGTGTAATGAAATGCAATATGGGTTGCATATGTAATAGTAAAATTAAGTAAAGAAATTAAGTTATTTAATTGATATATTTATTTATTTTATTTCTATTTATGTATGTAAATTATTTTATGAAAAGTGGAAAAAAGTTCAACTAGTATACCTAATATGACATTAATGTAGTGAAAAGATTAAGTAGCCTAATTCTGCAAAATTAAAGCATGATATATCTGGCTCAAGTTACTTATGTCAGTTCTCTTATTCAATGCATTAGGATGTTTTAATATTGAACACATTTCCAAAAACTGTCTTTTCGCTAGATTGCGTTCAGTGGCAAGAATCTTAACTTCATTAAAATCCACTTCATGTTTTGTATTTATCGCATGTTGTGCTAGAGCACAAGTGTGTTTCGATAAGTTAATGTCGCTACGATGTGAAGTGAGACGACCTTTCAATGATCTACCAGATTGCCCAATGTAACAAAGATCGCAATTAGCGCATGGAATTTTATAAATTGTGTTCACTTGTTCCAAAGTGGACAAGGGTGTTTTAGTTTTAGAGAACAAATTTCTAACAGTTTTTGCATTCTTAACAGCAATTTTAACAGGTATATTATTTTGTTTATACAATTTAATAAGCTTCTCAGTAACTTGAGGGAAATATGGTAAGGAAGAGTAATGCGTGATAGTATTCTCAAGATCGGTATTATGCAGAACAGTGCTATTTATAGAATTATTAGAGATGTTTATAAGTTGGTCACCATCGGGTATGTCATAAATTGAGGATCCATAACTATGTGAATAAAGGTATTTATTGATGATAGAGGAAGGATATGAATTCTCTATTAGAATATTTCTCAATAACTTAAAGGATTCCCTTCGATTAATTGGATGTGTCAATTTATTTAATCTAAAGCTTAAAGCTTTTATCAGGTTTAGTTTATATTTCATAGGATGACAGGAATGGTAGTTAAGGAACCTATTAGAGGCCATTGATTTTCTATACCAACTTGTGGTTAGGGTGTTATCTCCATTCTGATGACACGCATGTCAAGGAAGGGTATACTATTGGTGGTAGTGTCCTCAAGTTCAACAGTGAACTGTAAATGAGGATCAAACTCATTAAAGTGGGATAGGGTACCCTGAACCTTGTCAGGTGGTAGGGCTAATAATAAATCATCCACATACCTTTTAATAAAAGGGATTTGAAAATCCAAAAGACCCAAACGGTCAGAAACCAAATCATCCAATACAAAGTTAACTAGGATGGGAGAGATTGAGGAACCCATAGGTGTACCAAATGTTTGAAGGTAAAATTTGTCATCAAAGACTAAAAAATTAGTGTCAAACACAAGTTGTAACAGTTCTGCAAATATATCCCAAGACACCGGGCAGTTAGGTTTGATAGAATTCCAATGGTTTTTTAAGGAAGTAATTACACTGGACAAAGGTAAGTTAGTGAAAAGAGATACCACATCAAAACTTACTAAAATGTACCCTTGAGGTAGTTGAAAATTGTTAATAAATTCACTAAAATTGAAAGAATCAACAATGTTGAAATCATTGTTGTAATTATATGATTTAGACAAGATGTCTGTTAGAAATTTAGCTATTTTAATATTAGGTGAGTTAATAGATGACACAATAGGTCTCATGCTCAACGTAGGTTTATGTATTTTAGGTAAACAGTAGAATCTTGGAGCATATCCATCATAATTATGTAAAGACTTAGCTAAAGGTTGATCTATGATCTTAATGTTTTTTAAATGTGTTATAAATTTATTTATTTTATTTGTGAATTTAGAACAAGGATTAGAAGATAGTGGTTGATAGTATCTATCATCATCTAACAGTGATTTACTCAAACTGAAATATTGATCTTTGTCCATAAGGACAGTAGCATTACCTTTGTCACTCGTAAGAACGAGAAGATTAGGGTGGGTTTTTAAAAACGATACCGTCTCCCTGTAAATCTTATCTAACTCTGATAAGGGTTGCCTAGGGCGTTTAGTGAAATTCAACAAGATGTTGTTCGAAGATGACCTAAGAGATAGAAGGTCGGAATTGTCCGCATGAGACAAAATATTCTCAACATCTGCTAAGATTCTACTAATTGAGTAGTCCTTGAACGAAGGTTGAAGGCCAAATTTAGGACCCAAAGATAACAGCTTCAGTATGTCAGGAGGAACCTCAATATTAGATAAATTCTTAATCCACTTAGGATTAAATGGGATTTTCTTGAAATCAGGTGTATCTAAGTTATTAAGTTTATTTTTAAGTT